CCCACTGTGTGCTGGTCTGCTCCGCAAGTGGTTGCTACTGCGGGTTGATTTCTCCAGCCTTCATCCCCCTGCACAGGGCCTAGGAAACGAAAGCTCGCCTTGCGCAGATTTCATGGCAGGCGGGGCTCAGTGGGATTTGGGACCTGTGGTCCCGATGTGGGCACGGGCAACTCAGACTCTGCACAGAGGTACACGGGGTGGGGCACATCCTCTTCTAAGTACCAGTCCAGGCAAAGGTGGCACGGCCCTGGGACAACGGCTGTGCCAGCAGCTTCCGCGCCAGACAGGCAGCAGTCCCCATGGGAACCTGACCCTGCGGTGGGAACGTGGGCACTGTTTCTGTCGGTTTATCGCACAGCCTTTCACCCTCCCCGACAGTCCTGGGGGCTAGCTGTAGCCCTCCATGGGTCTCCGTCGTCTTAGCTGCGAGGCGCACTCTCTCTGCCGCCGGAGCCCCAAGGGCCTAGACCGTGCAGTCGGGTACGGTTTGCACGTCTGCGCCGGAGCTCCTGCGCACAGGGCCGTCTCAGGGGGGTTTGGGGAAGTGATTCTCTTTAGGAAAACAACAAAGAACAACCTGGCATCAGCAGGTTGATGTATCATGACGTGTCTATTGCCCCATTCATAGACAGCAAGCAAGACTTCAGGAAAGCTGGTGGGTCGCCGAGCACAGGGCCTGCGTTGCTGCTGGGCGCCCTTCCAGCCTGTCCCACAGGCAGCGCTGCCGGGAGGCCGGAGGATGGCTCTCTAGTGGGCTCTCCGTCCGGACAGGGCTGGTGACCTCTTCTCCCCCATCAAGGATCTGGGGGCATCCGAGTGCTCCCCTCCTCCCCGCCTCCTCCCCATGCGCAGGTCTTCTGGAGGCCCCAACTCGGGGATGGTGGCGGCTGCTTTTACCCCAGGCTGGAGACCTGTCTGTGCCACCTCGGGGGCGAAGCGGAATGTGTAAGACCAGGCTTGTCCAACTCCATGTGCTGCTTGAGGAAGTCATGTGATGGTGTAGTTATTTCTTTTATGTTTTCCTTGCTTATTTCTTCTTATTTGGTTTTCATAAAAATCCCCCGGTTGTAAGAGTATATTAAATATATTTGAAAGAGGCAAGTAATAGCAATGATATCATTATATTTTTACTACGCTTATGCATCTGTTATACATATATAACCTTTCAGGCTGTGGCCGATGCTCTAATCACTGAGAAAACCCGCTAGGGCTGCCNTTGTTTTTTCTTTTGTTTTTTAATTTTTACTATTATTTTTTAAAAGTTTTGTTCTGTTTTCTTTATGAGCTTAGAAATGCTCATTTTTTTGGTGAATTTTCATTGTGAATTACATCCTTTATCATTATAAGATGTTTTCTTTTATATAATTTAATTATTTTTGTCCAGAAATCAGCATTTACTGATGTTAAGATTGAGACCCCTGCTACTGGGGCTTTCGTTTGTTTGGTGTGCTCTTGAATTCTCATATTTTCAACCCTTCTCAGTCACTTGGTTTGTACACAGCATTCCGGTGGGTTTTGCCTTGTGATTCCATCTGAGAGACTTTGTTTCTATGGCATTAGTATGACATATATATGCTCTAAGTGTTCTTAGTTTGCTTTCTGTGTTTATGAATTCTAGTTACTGCTTTTTAAAAGTCTTTTACCATATGATCTGTGCGTGTGTGTGTTTCTGATCATTTAGAAAGTGTGTTTTTGCTTTAGTGGTTACATCTATATGTAACTAACTTGAATATAATATGCTTCATATTCTGTTTCTTAGACTCTGCCTAGCTTCTCCTTCCTCCCCTTTTTTCTCTTTTCTCTTTGCTGAGTTGGGTTTCTGACGCTTTCAAAGTATTTTTAACAAGGGCACTTTTGTTTTCCAGTAGATGGTGCTAGAGATACAATATAAAGGTTATAAAAGAAACGTGGACCTCATCTGAGTTCAGGCTCAGTCCTCTAACCCCTCATCTATTCTGGAAGAATTAATAGTTGAACTTTTTGGATCTCTAAGGCCAAAGGCCAAATCTTGGTCGTGACCCACCTGGGCCCTATTGTCCTGTGAAGTCTGGGTGACCAACCACCTCCCACAGTGACTTTTAAAAAAGCAACACTGTTTCCTTATGAAACAGTTACACTTGGAAAAAGAAGCAACTGTTCTCATGGGCCCAAGATTTTAATTTTACCAATCCATATGCTAAGTGGTACTTTATGTTTTCTTCTCTTGTATGGTGTTCACAATATTTAGTTCTTCCTAAAGCTATACTTGGCTCAAAGTCTAACCCTTACGACAGTCCCAATGTGATTGCTTAGGTCAGACAAGATTACTTATTTCTCTTGACTTGGAAAAAAGAAAGTCGTGGAGTGTTCATGACTTAAGGACCCAGGGCATGTTTCCAGTCTGTTTACCTGATACTGATCAATCTACGAATCAGTGTTTACCCTAGCTTTTCTCTCTGCAAAAGGAAGCTGCTATTATTTGCTGCCTACTGTACATGGAAATATTTGATCCATGTTTTGCTTGAACGTATACAGGAGGATGACATACGTAAAAGGGCCGAATTTTGGGATAACATATATAACAGAGAGTGGAGGCTAGAGGGGGTAAGGCTTCAAGAACGGCAGGGACGTCCTGACTTAAAAAATGAGAAACTTGGGATAATTCTAAGATGAGATTTTTGCCAAATGAGAGAAAAGGTTCCAATCTCTCTTTTCCAACCTCATGCCCTGCCACACTCCTTCATGTGCCTAATGGTTAGACATAGAAAACTTGGAATTCATCCCCAGGTTCACCCTGTCTTTGGGGCCTTGCTCATAACCGGAATGTCCTCTGTGTGCCTCCGACACCCACCACACTCGGGCAGAGCCCACGGGATCATTTCAGAATACCCTGGCCCCAGCCTGTCTGGCTCAGGGGACAGAGCGTCGGCCCGTGGACTGAGGTGTCCCAGCTTGGTTTCGGCCGAGGGCACATCCCGCCCGGCCGGGGCGAGTGCAAGAGGCAACCAGTCGGTGTGTGTCTCTCACATCGATGTCTCTGTCTCTGTCTGTCTCTGTCTCTCTCTTTCTTTCTCTCTCCCCCTTCCACTCTCTGAAAAGCAATGAAAAAAAATAGCCTCTGGTGAGGATTTAAAAAAAAGAAAAAAGAATACTCTTTAATGCCATTTCCTTGGGGAAGGGCTGTCACCTCCACAGTGAGAACTAATCTTTTTTCTACTTTGTTTCCATCACACTTTAAACATGCACTCCCCCCAAACCTTCATCACATTATGGCATAATTATAGAATTGTGTCAATCAAGCTATTTGTCTACAAGGAATGTGAGCTCCTAGAGGGCCAGGGTTGTGTTCTATTTATCTCTGTACCCTCCGGGCATAAAGCAGAGTCTTTCTGGATGGAAAAACTGATGAGTGAATGAAGTAAAGGCTCTAAAAAACAGGATCAAGTGTGCATGGTGTAGCACCCGGTGACAAAGTCAGAGTGAAAGGTCCAGAAAGAGCCTCAGGAATTACCTCATCTAGTCCCTTCACTTTGCAGATGACGAGGCTGGCTGGGGTCCAGCTAAAGGGACTTGCCCAAGGTGACACATCCTCCTCGTGTCAAAGTCTCCGGCGCCTACTCAAGCGCTTCCACTTCACCCTGGAGTGACCTGGTTACAGCCCCTTCCACCTCCACCCCCAAATGCTCTTGGTTTTTCTCACTAATGTGCAGTTCTAACTTTGTGCTCTGGTGCTAAGAATAGAAGGAGATGTCAAAATAGCTCCCTCTGCAGCGCTGAGTGCAGAGAAAGC